GCTAATATACTTTCAGGTATTGCTCTCATTTAACCATGAAATTACTTATATGAAACACTAGAAACAAATCAAGCTAACAATGAGTTTCTAAGCACAAGTGTGAAAAGACTGTTTACATATTAAGCAGTTATGCAGCACACATTATAGAAGGAAGTCAAGCTGCCCAAAGCTTCCCATAGAATAACTTCAGAGTGTACATTTGAAATGGATTCCTGGTGACATAGGAACAACACAAAATAGTGTATTCCTTTGAACTTTTCACTATCCAAAAACAATTAGAAGGAATTTTTACTGAGAAATACTATAAGTAAATTGCTTCAAAGCTAAACAACTTTGTATCAGAAGAGAGATAAAAGTAATCACATGTCATTCTGTTAGAATATCTGTGGATAGTAGAGAGAACTGTCAAGGTGCCATCCTCAGCATCCTCTTTCCTCCATGCCTTCCCTTGAAAAGGTTTATGACTCAGGAGTTGGTGTTATATAGTATCTTTCTATGAGTTGAAGAGGGTACTAGTTCTAGAATATATCCAAGACAGGGAACATGAGGATGATTAAAAAAAAAAAAAAACTTGTAAATTTGTCATTAAAATTTCCTAAATTTGGTGGGTCAGAAAAATGACCAGGGATAATTCCCAGAATCTAAAAATAGTCTACTGGCCCTCTAGTAGATTTGGGTGCTTTTTCCCAAGTTTTGTGACTTCCTGTATAATCTAACTTTACTTTGCTATTTTTAGAAAGCACCATTATTCTGAATTGCCCCAGATACATTTATAAGTTGAAAAGGGGTCCCCTTGGTTGTTCATACATACTAAAAGTTAAGTAGAATTGGGTCAGCAGAGAGTAATGTATCTTCTATTCGTTCTGTCTTCTGATAAGCAATCTATTTTTATTGAGTATCCATTAGATACCTAGTAGTGTACTAGGCAGTTCTGGAGGGAAAATGGAATATGTTAGGTATCTTTCCTCAAGAGCTTTCCCTTGATTCAGGATAAAAGATGAAAACATGTCACATGAGTCTGCCCACCAAAGTGAGTTCAGTGGAGGGGCAGCACTCTCTCCCAAGGTTCATCTGCAATGTGGTGTCCCAGGCCTTATCCTACTGAAATGGAATCTGCATTTTAACAAGATCCCAAGGTGATTCATATGTACATTAAGGTTGAAGAAGCACTGACAAGGAGAGCAATATTTTCTCCACCTACAAAACCAATGCCGTACAGTTTACAATGGCCACTGGCTCAACCACATGTCAAGACTGTACATGTTGGTAGGAGACAGACAAGGATTCCTTAAGATGAAATATGCCTAGACAGAGAGAACTATATTAGTTATCTCAGCAAAGAGACTTCTGTTTATTTTTAGTGCTACCAGAGTATAAAAAACTACTTTATTTATTTGTAGACTTCTATTTGTAGACTTCCAAAAAACAAAAATGACTTCATCAAAGAGAAAAATACCTATAGTTGGAAATCTGTACACATTAGTTTAGAAGGCCAAGAAGGTAGCAGTTACTCAACTGTATTTATTAAATACTTTGTGATTTGTTGATTAAGATTCTTGTCTCAAGAGCCTGAGTTATACACACCTATACTCCCAGCACTCAGGATCGTGAGGCAGGAGGATCGTGAATTTAAACTAGGCTTCTTTATATAGTGAGACACTCACTCAAAGAAAAAAGATTATTTTCTCCTCATCCTTTTTCTGAAATTAGCACCTCTCTTGGATATATAAAAAAAGGAGACATATCAGCAGGTGATAGATTTTATTCAAAGGGCATTTCAGTTTGCAAGTACCAAAAAAAAAAAAAAAACCTAAGAAGCTGAATTGTAGAAAATTAAAGTGTGTAATTTAGCTTGTGATAAATAAAATATTATCAACATTTTCATATTTAAAATTATTTGAAATCAACAGCAGATAATTTTTATATTCACTAAGGATAAACTTAATACCAGTTTCAAAATGATAAATGACAACTGTACAAAATGTACATTTGCTTTATATCACTGGACTATGAAAGACATACCTGAAAGAATTCTTAGTGATTACTAAATTGCTCTTCACAGTTCTGATTACTGTTTGTACTATATTGTGTAATTAGGTTGATGTATAATTATTACACATTACCTTAATATAACTATTTTTGTACATTCTTTATTCTCTTTTGATCCTTTAAAGAATCAATAACATTTCTTGAAGCTAAAATAGCTTTCATTTACATTAATGAAGATTTTGATTAGTTAATGGAAAATAATTCTATGCAAGTTCCTGAACTGAATTACCCTTTACAAGTTTTTCACATGACTCTACTCTTTGTTTAATATTAGCATTTGAGGTGGGAAATGCAGTTCAAAAGAAGAAGAAAAGTATAATTGCTTTCTTCTTTTCTTATAAATGCCAGTTATAATTTATGAAAATCACATTTGGTCATTGAAGAATTATGTTTTCTCCTTCTTTGTAGTTTCAACTCCTAATAGTGATACAACCTTACCATTAACTATGGGAGGGAAATGCACCCATGATCCTAAAAGAAACAAAATGCACTCTATTTCCATAAGATCTATATTAATGGGAATATAAACTTGTAAGAACATTGCAAAGACATTTTCTTCCATCCAAATTTGTCCTCCTTAGCCTAATTTTGTGGAATATAGGTTAAGACAACCTAAAAAGGTAAGGCCATAAGTAAGCAAAGCATTCTCAGATGAAAGGGTTTTAACACATTTGTTCTATTTGCTTTTGTTTTTTAATAATAAAATTACCACAACCTCTAAATTATTAGATGGTTCTTAATGTAACACTTTAGAAAGTAAATGTAAATATGTAAGTATATGTATAAGGAGAAATATAAAATACATATAGAAAATATAATTATTTTAATCCCTTAAAATGACAAAAATAAGAATTTGTGTTCCATTTATAGTTTTTCATACAACTTAGTTAAATACAAAGATATTTTTGCTAAAATTAATACATTATAAACTGCTATTCAAATTTTATTATTCATGATGAATGTCTCACAATCTGGGACAGATCAAAAATGATTTTATAAAAAGATAAGCAATTTCTCTTTTCTCAAGCAGACCTTCTTGGAGGACATCATGGTAAGTGAAGTAAGCCAGTCTCAGAAAGACAAAGTCCTCATGTTTTCTCTCATATGTGGGAGAGAGTCACAATACAAATACAAGCTAGGTTATCCAAAAGGGAGGTCACTAACAAGAGAGGGAGGGTAAAAGAAGGAAGTTAAGAAGGTGAAAATGGTTGATGTCCCTTCTATACAAGGATAAATATTGAATTTTTAAACTTTGGAAATCACCATAAGAAGGGGACTAAGGACGAAAAAAAATAGAGGATATGGAACAATTTGGGTTATAATACATATATACATGGAAATGTCACAATGAAATTCCATGTATTGCTCTCCTAAATAAACAAAAATGCTCTTTTTTCAAAAATGGAAAATAGAAAGGCAAAACAGTTCCTGTTTGGGTGTTGGTACCAGGGAGAGGGAGAAGTATATAAGCAAAGAGTGTAGTATGGTGAATGTTATGGAAATATTGTGTACTCATGTATAAAAATGGAAAAATGAGACTTATTGAAACAATTCCAGGAATGGGGGAAGGGGCGGATAAAGAAGAATGATGGTGGGGGTGAATTCAACTATAATTCATTATAAGAACTTTTGTAAATGTCACAATGTACCCCAGTACAACAATAATATAATAAAAAAGAAGACCTCCCAATAGTTATTTCATCATATCCCCATCATTTTGGTTATATTTTAATATTTTGCTATGGGTATGAAGGAACCAATATCACATCCATCTTTTTCAGTATGAGGCAGCAGTTTTGTGGAACAGCCCCATATAGACTCAGGAAGATGTGGGTGGCCAAAATAATGAAAACTTGAAATAATTCAGTAATTTTCAAGTCATACAGAAAAGAATAAATTGGACAATGTCATTTTATGAGAATGGAATAGCATAAAAAAATCAGAAAGGAAAGACAAATATTTTTTCAATAGATCTCTGCAAGGAAGCTAGGGTCAAGAAACAAAGAAAATTCTTAGACAAAAATTTCATACTAAAGTTTCTATGTCCATTTTCTTAATATTTACTCAACAATCATAAGCAGAGTTTTTCCATGTATGTTTTTTGTGAATGAAAATCTGAAATTCATATGTCTACATATTTTATGAAGCAGTGCCCTGCTACTAAAGATTTCTAAAATGATGAGTAAGGAAAAGGCATTCTGAAGACATAATGAACACACATTTGGAGCCACAAGTCTACCCCATCTGTTTTACAGATCTCAGAGAAATTCTCTTCATAACTATCACTATGTAACAGACAGAAATTTGTACTATAACTATTCCTTTGGATAACTGTCATGTTTGTGGGCAAATCAATTCAAAATTGTGAGAAAAAAGTGGTATGCAATACTGCCTTGTCTTACAGAATGGTGTATGAAAGGATCTCTTCTGAATAGAAACTAATTGATATATTGTTTTCAATTCAGTTGCATTCACAACGTACTAGATACAAAGAACCCAGTATCTGAGAAGTATAAGGTACTATGTTAGGTCCTGCAACACCTAACAAGACATAGGACACAATCTGATGAGAAGATTGCAACCCCTAATATGGAAGAGAGACCAAATAACATTAGTTACTCAAACTTTCTCCCCAAAAAATAATCACAAGAAATGTTTAAATAAGGAATAAGCATATGGAGAAGATAATTTTTTCATGCAAAAGACAGAAAGAAAGCATGATCCCATGACCTATACAGCACTTACATTTTTAAGTTACATTTTCATGCACACTTTTTTAAAAAATAGCAAAAGAAATTTTATCAGCTTAATTCTGTGGGTTTGGATCATTGGATCATGCCTCACTGGCATGTTGAGATGTCTAAAATTTTCTCATGGTCTTCATCTTCTGTCCTGCATTCAGTCTGATTCCTATCCAGGCCTCTTTCATATCCCCTCCATGGTATGAAAGTTCTGGAACTATTTCAGATCATCTCAGTTTAAACATACTGACCTGTTCCTAGGATCACCATTGACAATTTGGAATGCTCTCCTTTAAACTTCTCCCTCTTTTCTTTGGGTCACTTATATTTTTCTGCAGTTAGTATCATCTCTCTCCTATAGAAGACGCAACCATGAGGAAGAGATTTGGTGGCAAAAGATCTTCAGTACTGTGCACAAATATATAGAGGTCTTGAAAATGGGTAAGATTTGCTATGCTAAGATGATAGAATGACACATTCCCTGAAGACTGCAAATAAATTGGAACTTTATATGTGGAGAGATTTTGAGTAACTCATGCTTATTCTTTCTCTATATTAGGTTGCAGTCCTTATCAGGAAATCAACAAGGACTCTGGTTTGTCTGAGTGGAAGAAAAGAAGTAGCAGGAAATGACTCCATCAGTTCCTCCTCTCCTAGCAGAGTACAACATGATGACACAAACATTCCCTTACTTAGTTTGCCATGCACCTGGTATGTGTATCATATACATTTTTTCAATTGCATTTCTCTCTGAAGTAATGCCAGATTGAGTCTTCAATACCTAACCAAGTCCCATTGAAGCTTTTAATTAATTAATAGTTATTATAAAGCAAGTTTGAGAAGGAATGGTGAATGATGACATGAAAGTAGAAAATCACTTAAATACATGGAAAGAAAGATTGAAGGGGACATATAGCTTTAATAATGTTGTATGCGTATTATCTATTTAATTTAAATCCCCCCACCAACCAATTATGCTGGAAGTTTTCACTCAGAATAAGTGCAGAAAACATAGTAGACACTGTAATCAATGACCTTGAATCTTAAAAGTAAAACAGCCAGATTATATCTGTATAAATCAATAACAAATGCAGCATACATTTGTTTATTTATTTTATACTTGCATTTTTATTATTGTTGTGCTGATACATTATAGCATTTACAAAGGATATTACAGTGTATCAGATATATCATAATTGAATTCACCCCCTCCACTGTTCTTTCATACCCTCTCCCCCAATTCCTAGAAGAGCTTCAACAGGTATCATTTTTGCATTTACATACATGTGTATACATTATCTGCACCATATTCATCCTCCTACCCCTTTCCCTGCCATCATCCTCCCCCTGCAGAACCTGTTCTGTTCTCTTGTTCTCCAATTTTGCAAAAGAAAAAACATCAAAGATAATAAGAGAAACATGGTGTTTTTGCTAGTTTGAGATAAATGTAACTGTACAGGGAGAGTCCTTGTGTTGTTTTCATGTATATTTGTATTACAAGCCCAGTTGGTTCATCTCTACCAGTCCTCTTCACTCCACCCTAGTACCCTTTCCATGGTGGCCCCGGCCAATTTAAGACTTCTACATTCATTCCTGTACAGTGAACACATCAACTACTTCAAGTTTTTTATTTCCTTCCCTTGCTCTATCCCTCCCCTGTGTGGCCTCCCCTTGCAGGGTATATTTACACATATAATGCTTTTGTGAAGAGTGAGTAGTCTTAAAAGATTCACTTATAATGGTCTGGGGCTGTAGCTCAATGGTAGGGCATGAGTTTGTCATGCATAAGGCTTTGAGTTTAATACCAAAAATGATTGAATAAGTACAACACTCAGGGTGTACGAGTTCTAGGAGACTGCCATGAGAGAAATACTGTGCATGCCCCAGATACATGGAGCTCAGTGCTGTACTGTGGATGATTGGTTTATTTTTCCATAATGCTGCCCAACTTCTGCTAAAAACATATCACCTTTTAACAAGTCTCACATTTTCATTCATGACATAAAGCAAATCATGTGCCCTTTTTAGCTTGAGAGGATTACTGTAACTTTTACCTTGCCTTTTGGGAAGCTGATTTTCACAAAATGAAGGGGAGGAAAACACTCAGCAGCTCACACAATGATTTAAACACAACTGATGATAATGCTGGACTGACTGAAAGTTTCTCCAATGAGCTCAACTGAGTTGCATAATGTATGTGGGAATTTAAAATTTTTTGCTTTTGGAATTTCTTTTAGTTTTCTTTCTTTTCTTTTCTTTTTTTTTTTTTACTGTGTTTCATAATCAATCTGCTGATAGGGAGGAGGCTTACTGTAAATTAAATAAATAAATAAGTCAGTTGTAGCTTGGATACATTTAGGTTCATCCAAGAATTATAAAGACTCTTACACATGATAAATTCATATGCCTGCCTACTCAGAAGCACCCACAATTTCCTACTGTTTACCAGATAATGTCTGAATTAGCAGCAAAGCATTTAAAGACTACTGGTATATAATATGGTCTGCATTCTTTTGAACAAATGTGTTTTTAACCAAAACAAACTCTTTCATGCATTGTACTTTTCTACCTCTATGTATTCTCCACTCAAACAGTAACATCTACCTATAGTAAATATATATAAAATATATACACATATATATAAGTATTTAGATTGTCAAAATAATATTTTAAACTATAGAGACGTCATAGCCTAATACTTCCCCTTCATATACATAGCAATCACTTCTTCTTTTAGCCAGAAGGTAGATGTAATGACTGAACATGGTGACTCTGTCCTCGGTTCCTTATTTTGAACATTTAAAACCGCTAAGCATTTCTACTCGAAATGAGGAAAATAAGTTACTGCCTTTCTTAATTCATTGCATTTTTATGAGAAAAAGAGACAGGAAGGATTGATTTTCATCACCCTGCTCTTCAGTAAGCAAAGACTTAATTGTGAACATTGTACAGAAGAGGAAAACAATTTCCGTGAGGCTAAGAGAGATCTTCGTGGACAGAGACGGAATCAAGGGATGCAGCCAGGTTGATTCGTGACCTGAGTCCCTTCCAATGCTGCTTCTCCTGCACCTGGCTGCCTTCTACAATGTAGATTTTGGTGGCTCTTACCATCCACAAGATCAACCTTCAACTTTGAAACAGAAAGAGCTTGAAACTTTGTGATCTAACTATAGGTATAAATTTTAAATGAATAACTGAATTTAAAATGACAGCATGCATTATCAATGTATGAGTGTTATTTATCCATTAAAGGAAAATACCACCAATCACCACTGTGCAAGTTCTCACATGCTGCCATGATGATAAATATCAGACTTCTCAACCAAGTGGGAATGGATTTGAAGATTCATGTTAATTTAATCATTTTCTTCTCTACTGAGATGACCAAAAGGGCCACCAGTTGGCATCCTTTTGATTTAGCATTTAAAATAGCTGTTGATAATAGCAAAGATCCTATCATTATTTTCACAGGGCTAGATTTATTGATGGTTTTCATTCCAACTCCAGTCAGATTTATTGATGGTTCTCATTCCAACTCCAGTCATTTACACATTTTGTTCCCACCACAGAGTAGTGAGCCACCTGCATGCCCTGATTTAATAGATGGAGGAACATATGCAAGCACCTTTGACGTGTCTGTGGGCTACCTGAGACAGTTCCCTTCTGAAAAATAAAGAAAAATCCACAGTGAATGGATTAGACTAACCACACAAATATGTTTACACTTTCATTCTCACATATAAATATAATATTTAAATAATTTTCATACAGAAAGACATTAAGAAAAAATGTTTGCTAAATATGTTTACTTTATCATATTCCTTGGAAGCCTGGTATTCTACTTCCTTCTTAGTATATCATGTGATATCATTTTTCTTTTACTCTAATGAGAGTTTTGATTGCTCAGTTTTTCTGGAGTTTGGGTTCCATCCTACAATGTTGCAAAAATATGAGATGGTAAAACACTAGATTTCCATTTCGCCAGTGAAATACTGGAAACACTGAATCCCAGTTGCTGTAGATGGGCTCTGGATTCCATGACCTACTCTTTACGACCTACAGAGCTTTTTTAGCCAAGACTTTGTACTTCTCCAGACCTGAGTTGTTAAACAGAAGAATAAGTTGACATCTTAGACCTTTTTCACATTTAAACTGTGGAGCCTATGAAATATTGAAAGATCTACTGTACAAATAATATACAGTAGGGAATACAAAGACAATGTCCTCAGAGAGGTAACATTAATCATAATATGGAATAGATGTAAGAAGCTAAGGATAGAGACATTTGGAGTGAAAAATTTTGGCTTTTGTATTGGTTGTCTAGGGATACCATAAATAAAACATACTGCAGGTTAGGTGACAATTCTCTTTCAGCTTCACCATACATAGCTGAATGACCCAAACCAAATTATTCAACCTCAGAGTCTCATTATCCTCATGGAGCAAATGATAATTATACATTCTTTAGAAAGACTGTATGGACTGAGTAGAAAAAAATTGCAATTTGTTGTTGGGTTGACTATAAAATGTTGAAGAAATTCATGTAATATGATTATATCATTTAATATTATAACTATTAAATATGATTATAAAAACTCAGTATAAGAATATTAAGTGCATTTGCAGATGAATGTCAGCAGTCTGTGGGTAGGAATCGATAAAACAGGATCATTGGGGATGAAATAGTAATGTAGAATCAGTTATGAGTGTTGAATATTTTAATTGCCAAGGCCTAAATTCAAATCCTGTTTTTTATTTTCTTCCTATGTGAATTTGAACAAGTTTTAAAACGCTGTTTGAAATTCAATTTTCTTACATTCAAAGTGAAAATAATAATATTGCTACCATAAAAGTGATAGTATTGTAGCTTAATAGGTTATTAGTAACATAATAAATATTAGTTAAAAAATAGGACCTCAAAGGATATGGATATATGGAAAATGCATCAGCAGGGATGGGTAAGTTAATTGAGGGGAAAAGGAACATAAAGAAGTAATTGGCTTATGCTGTGCAGAAAAAAACATAAAAGTTAAGATGGAGCTAAAGAAATAAAAGCTAAAAATCATTCAGTTGTTGCTGTATAATACATACTGAAAAACTCAGTGGCTGAAAACATTTATTGTTACTGGGTTTGTGCTGATGTAGACTGGGAACAGCTCAGTGGCTCTGCTTCAAGAGATGGGTCTTTTTGGTGTTGACTACCTACATTGTATTGGGCTCATATATGCTCCACCTTGCTCTCATCCTCCTTAGCCCAGCAATCCATCTAGGACTGTACTCCTAATACAGTGGCCCATTTTTTCCAGAATGAATGGCCTACAAGAAAGCAAGGCAAAAGTGGCAAAGTCTTTTATGACTTAGCTTCTGAGGTCACACATGGTCACTTCTTGCTATATTATATTTATAAGAAGGGATATTAAGCTTGGTGCATATTCAAGAAGAGAATTAGGCTCTACCTTTTGAGGAGAAGAGTTTCAAGTAACTGAAACCAAACCAACACAGGAAATCATGTACAGAATCAGGGTTCAGACATCGGGTTTGTGATACATAACCAATGGACATAGCAAATAGACAACTCAACTAGATTTAAGGTCACATCATTTTTGGAGTTACATAGTAGGTAAAGACTAAAGACACTGGAAAACATTGAGGAAAAAAAGGAACAGGACTGTGTGTACTATTTGAGATGAGGAAGAAGAAAGGGGAGCTATCAGAAAAGAAAATAAGAAAACAGACAAGGGTGGGTAATAGCAAATGTTATATAGAAATCAAGGACAGTGAAGCTCTCACAAGGATACTGACATTACTTTATCAATGCTACCAGATAAAAATGTGCCTAGAGATCAGAAGAGATCCTTTTAGATAATGTGCTGTGTTTCTCCTTTTTGAAACTGAGAAGTAGGAAGATAGGTAAGAGGAGAAGAATCTTGAGATTGTTCAGAGCTCTGATCAAAGCAATTAAAATATTTCCAACAGTGCTATGCATTCACAGCATGCATAATGTACATGTTATTTCTGAGATAGCTGCAAAAGGATATCCAAACACAAATATATATGGGTTACATAGAAAAAGAAAAATAAACTTCAAAAGTAAAACAATATGTGAGATAGTTAAAGTGGAGTCGGCCTGAAAAAGAGTTTTTAACAACACAGTACACGATAGTTATGTGGAAGTGCTATATTTATAGCACAAGACTGTGAATAAGAAATACTGCCAAGAACAAGATCTGTCTGGAAGCAAAGGGGGAGGGGAGCCTGGGGACAGGGAGGAAAAATGGCCCAAACAATGTGTACACACATGAATAAACGAATAAATAATAAAGAAAGAAATACTGCCAAAGCTGACATTAGAAGTTACAGCATTCTCAAAAGATGTTTTTGAAAGTGCAGTAGTTTTGAAAGTGCACTATGAAAACATAACCATCTTCTTATCTTTATTTTTGTTTTTTGGTACTTTCCAATTAACTAAATCAACTACACTTTAAAATAGATGGTAAAATGTTCTATCAAAATCTCTCTCTCAGCTAGGAGTTGTGATTTGCACCTGTAATCTTCGTACTCTGGAAGCTGAGGCAGGAGGATCATGAGCTTGTAGCCATCTTGGGCTACATAGTAAGACCCTCTCTCAAAGAAAAAAAAAATTCTTCAGGAAGGTCAAAGCATTATTAGACAGAAATAATAAATAACATTCTCCAAGTAAAATCAGCATTGGATAACAAAAAGCTATTGGACTCCACTTGAAAGACGAGGAGTGACCCCCTTAGGGGACTCCACCAGGGAGAAAAATTACATCACTTTATAAAATCCCTCTGTATCTGCCTGGTCTTTACATAACTTTTTACTCTGAGATTGGCTTCTCGATAGCTAAAAGGGCTATGTGTTTATTTTCTTTAGGGAAAAGCATTCTAAGTAGTTTGTTTAAGGGGTTTGGTTTCTTCTGTGCTAAGAATCAAACACAGAGCCTTGCATATGCAAGGCAAGCTGTTTACACTAAGCTACATCCCTAACCTCCTTTGGTTCATTAAACTAAGGGAAAGGTAGTAGCAGCCCCAAGCCCACAAATACAGTAAGAAAAGATTCAGCATCCCAAAAAAGCTGCCTTCCCACAAAGTGGCATGGTGGTGTCTGTCTGTCTGGGTTCTGTGGAGGTTCATTCCTTTCATTTAAAACCTAACAAAACTATGGCAAATGGAACTTGGTGACCCTGCTACACAGTTTTCCAAAGCACAAAGAAAAGAATCCTGGGCATTGAAAAGCAAGTCCAAACTTTATGGGTTTTCTTTTCCCCACCTCAGACAGCATTGTCCTGAGGCAGCAGTATTCCTGAAGGGCAATCTGACCATTGATATGCAAATACAGGCAACACACATCCCATTGGGCCTCACAAGGCCTGTGTCTAGCGCTGTCACACAAATAGATTTGAATCTGGGCAGTTTATTCAGGACCATAAATATGTGTTTCACCCTGTGAACAAATTCTGCTTGTTCAGAGTTCACAAGCAGTGAAATGCAAGGTGGACTATAAAACAGCCCTTATTTGATGTGATGGGCCAGATTTAGACTTATTAGTCAATATTTTAGTGCAAATGTAGCATACTCCAGACAGTAAGAGATTTTTGGGTTTTTTTTAAATTTAAGGTAGGTTTCCTGCATTGCCTTAAAAAAAAATAGAAACGTAAAAACAATTTTAGTCCATACTGTTAGTAAAACCATAAAAGCCGTGCTAACAGATCAGTGGTAGTAGAAAGAAAAATAAATTACAATAATAAAAACTTTGAATAATTTTTCGTTTCTTTCTGCTTCTCGCGCGCGTGCACGCGCGCGTTCTCTGTCTTCTCCACCACCACCCCCGTGTGCTTGTGTGTCTGTCTCTACCTTAAAAAATTAGTAAAGAACTTATCCTCAGAAAAAAATTACATTAACTTTCAGAATTCCATTTAACCCAGAACATTTATGCAGGCTCTGCCCACGTTTCCCAACCTTGGTCCACCTGGTCTCCGCGATCTACTTCCTTCGGTAACAGCTCCGCTTCCAGGTGGCAGCACCATACCTCGCCACTGAACACGAAGAGCAGAGTGAGGCAGAGGGCGGGAAATGCCTCCCTTTCTAAGAGTTTCAGCATGATTATTTAAAACACTGGATTTAAGACCATGTGCTTATTTTCGTAACAAATCAAAGCTGAAAAAACAGCAGAAAAACATAAGATTCCAAAGGAAAATATAACATGTATTTGCTTATATGGATAAGCCTAAGAAATCATATAATATCGGAATAGAGACTCAACTGTCTTAAAACACCAATAACCAATAAGTTCTTCTATGGATGAATATGAAATAATTAAATCTAAAGTCTTATCTGCATACATGTTGCATACTCGTGACCACATGAACATACAGAATATTTTTATTTAACTTTCAATAGTAAATTGCGTGGTTCCTTCTCCTACCTGAAGGCACTCGTTCTTCATTTTAACACGTTCTTCCGTTCATTCCTTCTCTTCAATTTACTCGAGATACTGATGCCAGCCACCGAAGTGGGAATAGGTGAATCACTGAGTCAGATGGGGTAAAGAGAAAGAGAAATCACTTGGATTCTAGGAAGTCCCACTTTTGAGACGAGACAGTTCCATTCCTTGTTAAGACACCATGATCTAACTACAGAATTTAAAAATCAACAAATTTCCGTCATTTCCACTCTTAAATTTTTACAATCACTTCATTTAATCAAAAGCATGGTTGAAAATCTCTTTATATAAAAAGCTTCTCAGATTTTTTTTAAACATCTTAGTAGAGATCCTGATGGGGAACACAAACACTGTTAGTATTGTTTCCCCATCTCTGATTTATTTAATTGAATAAAATGAGATTAGGTATTATATTAATGATATTATCATACTGCTCAATATATTAGGATATCCTGTTTCCTTTTATAGGCATTGCATTTTTAATCAACTAGTAATATCCATAAAACTTGGAAAACGGATTGAGAAAAACTGTGAATTTATCATAGTTAAAAAGTGATCTCATTGCGGAAATTTAACTTAAGAAAATTAACGTCATTCAAAAATTTTCTTGATATTGGGAGCCTTGATTCATAATTTATCTGATACTATAGTTTCATGTAATAGAAAAGAAAGGTAATAAAGAGATTAAAAAAATCAAAGAATTATAGCACTGGGAGAGGGAGGCAGAAGAATCACAAGTTTGAGGACAGTCCCAGTTACATAGTGAAACTCTGTATTATAAAAAAGAAAGGAGGGAAGGAATGAAGAGAGGGAGGAAGGAAAGTGGTGTTTTAAAGAAATTGTCATTAAACATTTGCTTATTTTAGATTTTAAAAGAAAAGGGAAAGTGTTTATCACCCCACTGGGGAAAAGAACATAATATTCAGGAAAGAGGAGGCTATGATTATGAACCAAGGCTTTCAATGTCTAGAAAACTTTTGAACAACATTAATTTTCTCAAAAGTACTGTTTTTTCTTCTCTAATCTCTAACACTACCTGACGTATGTTTCTTTGATAGTTATAAATAATCGGGGTGCTACTAAAGTATAACAAAGACAAGAGGCATCTTAAGAAATGGGGAAATTAATGGCCTTTATTTTTTATGAATTTTACAAAGAAGATATAACCAAAAAGCATGTTGGAGTCTGTCTTGACAATGGAAGAGCTTTTCTGCTGAATAATCCCCCAGTTTGTGCTTCTTTCTTCCTGCCTAGTCTTTTCCTTTTTTTTTTTTTTTCAGTTCATGTGCAAAGGGATTTTTTACTAAGAAATTGAAAACAGAGAGAAGCACACAAGCAATATAATAAATACCCATAATGCAATTTAATATGCATTAACAAATGCTAAATTTTTGGCACACTTGCCTTGATCAAGTTTGAGCAGTAAGACATAAAAAATAAAATTGAGTTATCAAAATTTAATGTTAATTACATCTCTATCCAAGCCCTGAACAAGTGGAGAAAACTTCAAAAGCTTTAACTACTACCTATCACCTTTTGTGTTTTGTGTGTGTGTTTTCAATTCTATCTTAGGCTCCCTTGCCTGATTAGATATTCTGAATTTCTGTTGTCAATAATTCTTTTACTTTTTAAAATAATTGTAATGAATTACAAAAATTTAAAAAAATTTTAAAAGGTAAATATTTCTTAATTTCATTATCCATTTAAGTGAATATGAATATCCATTTAAGTGATATGAATATTTGCATAATATTTTCTTGCATTTTGTAACATCTGTTTAGTTTTAAAGATAGCATATACATTACCTTACATTGCATAGTTGTTTCTCCTCAAACTAAGATTTTTATTTTAGGTGCTGGTGCCATCTACCGGATACAAGTAAAGTTAACGATGTGACCATTGTTCCATATGTAAAAAGTACAACTCATTACAGCCCTTGTTCAAAAACATTTAACCTTTATAAAACATTCATTTATCTTTATTCTTTGACATGTGCCCAGAAAAATAGTCTTACCTCTCTGTTTCAATTGGGATTCTAAGAAGCATAGTAAAAAGTCTTGGAGGAATATTTGCCATTACAAATGTAATTTTAAAACATATTTAGCATTCAGCAAAATTTGCATGAAATATTCTGGGAACACAGAGATAAAGAAGACTCAGCAGCACTGCCTTCAAGATACTTGTAGCTGGGATTGGGATGTGGCTCAGTGGTAGAGCTCTAGCCTAGGATGCCTAGAGCCCTGGATTTGATCCCTAGCATTTAGTGTGGGGGAGATGACAAACAAACAAAAAACACACTTCAAAAAAGTGCCTGTAGTTCCATGGGTTGACAGATTGAAAGAAATAATTACAATGAAATAAAAATGTTGTAATAGAATGATCATTTCCTCATCTAAATGGCATGTTCAAATTGCAATAAAATAGATTTATAATGAGAATAACAGAGTATTAGTACTGAGATATTTTAGACAATCGCCTACTTTTTTAACTCAAAAAAATGAGACTGAGATTTTATTTTCTTATTCAAATTCATATTACTAATTGGAGCTTGGTAGATCACCTGGACTATAGCAATAAATGAATGATGAATAAATGAATGAATTTTACAGTTGTTTATTTTCTCTTAACCTAGCAAAAAGGGAAGTATTTAATTAAGTATGACATCTTCCTTAAGGAAGTCTAATGCATATGCATGGAATGAATAAAATTTTATAGGTTATTAAAAATGTTTGGCCCTTGCTCTTATTTTTTTTAGATATATATTGAAATCCCTGTCGATAATTTAGCTATAACAAATGTGAATATCAATTATCTATACTTAAATGATTATCAAGGGATTAACATTGCCTAAAGTCTTAATATCAAAGACATTTCATATATTGCTGTGTTTAAAATGAGTAAGTACTAATTTATAAAAGAAAAGGCGGAGTGGTTTCAATGGTAGAGCACCTGCCTAGTATGTGAGGCTCTGAGTTCAAAACGTAGCACCATCAAAAAAAGAAAAGACACTGAAAATTAGTAATACACTGATCAGTCCCCATTAGAGAAAAATATATGGTCCTTGCCACAAAATTGACTCTTTCCAGAGGTAGGCACTGTTGTAATAGTGAATCATGTATTAATTCACTTAATGCTCAAAAAACATCTAAGAGAAAGGTGTTTTATTTTATTTTTGGTACACATTTCCACATTTTTATTAAAGAAGTTCAGTGTTTGTTCATTTCAGTTTGGGGGGTCACTGGAAACATCTCAATAGTCCTCTCTTTTCTTTTATCTTCCAGATTTCTTCACCTTAGTGCAATAATAAATAGTCTAGTGCTAACCAGTTCATGGTCAGGCATAACAGTGATGGGGATGGAGGCAACATATACCATGTTGAAGAAAATGCATGTTTAAATTGTGTTGATTTTATTTTAAAGCGCACACTGAGGCAGAAGAAGTTTAATAACTTGCTCATTATGTGTGTTCCAAAGACCTTCTGGGGTGCCTAAGACTCAGAGGACTTACCAACTCAAAGCAATACTCATCATAATTTCAGAAGCTATTTACTTTTTTCACTCTCATTTCTTCACAAGTGTATAGTGGAGTTTTCTAAAGGCTGCATGATATGTGTTTTAAAAATGATTAAATTCAGCAATAAATGTAAGGATCTAGCTATATTCTGTTAAGCAAAACATCAAAGATTTTCAAAATCTTAGTATAGTGCTACTCTTTCCATTATATTTTTTAGAATATGGTTACTTTAATGAAAATATGTATACATATAAATATAGAATGAGTTTATTATCATTAATTTAAATGAGTTAATGGTCTAAATTACTTCAAATAAATAAAATAGTTAAGTGAGCTAATAACTTTCAGTTTTAATTTCTAGTTAATAAACATACATATTACCCATTTAAACAAAAGATCCTTGGGGAGAGCAACCTCAACAATTTTTGAAACCACAAAGTTTGGAGTCCTCCACCCTTTCGTTGTGTATAATGGATACAAAATTTCTGTACAGTCTGGGGCTTTCACACCAGTTTAGAAATCCTGCAATACAAATATGTGTGCCATGACAGCATTACAGATGATTGAGTCCTGGCCTTTAGGAAGACTTATTCACTGTGAATATGACAATATTAAAGTGAATCCTAGTTCAGGCTGAAGCTCAATTACATGTAAGTCTTAATAAGAATAGAAAAAAATAAGGTTGCAATGGTATGTTGGATTAGAAAAGTCAAGGTTTTGAATATCAGACTAAGGGGGTATTTCTGCATAGCATAGAAAGTCAGTTAGGATATTGAATGTTAAACGGTTCTAAATAGAGTTTGGGCAAGTGCATAACATCAATTGGAGAAACAAATACTGAGGGCAGAGTAGATGGGAGAAACAAAATGTAGCTAACTGAACATGAAACTCTTGTATATTTCATTTATTGAAACTTTATTAGCACATGACAGTCATACAGGGGGTTTCATTGTGACATTTCCATATATGCATATATTGTACCCTTGTTTGCTTCATCCCTTCCATTATTCTCCCTCTTCCCCACTCTCTTTCTTAAAATGACTTTGACAGGTTTCAGTGTTCCATATTTATACATGTGTAAAAAGTACGTCAACTACATTTACTTTCCTTTACCCTCTTCATTTACCCTCCCCTTCTGCTATTAGCATTCCCTCAGCATGACCTGATTCACATTCCTGTCCATTGTTTTAGTGCCTGTTCATTATTTGTTTATATTACCTGTAAATGTATTATACTTTAATCAGTCAACTCTCTTGTATTATGCTTCTTTATCCTTTTCCCTCTACCCTGTATTGTTTACAGTTTTCAGTGTGTTTTGCTGTGGTTTGTGCCTACACAGATGTGATGTATTTCAATATTATTCACTCACTATCATTCTTTCATTCTTTTCTTCCATTACTCCTCATGAGTCTCCTCTAACAGTCCCATTTTTGGAAACATATATATATATACATATATGTCCATATATATGTAAATATATATATATATACACACACACATGATAATGCTTGCATTTATATTTGGAACTATCTTCTTCTACATAGGAGAGAACTCATGCAACCTTTGTCTTTCTGAACTAGCTTACTTTAATTAGCATGGTATTCTCCAGTTCCATCCATTTACTTGCCAATGTCAAAATTCCATTCTGCTTTGTGGCTGAATAATATCCCATTTTTTATATATCACACATTATCCTAAACAATTTATCAATTGTAGAGCATCTTTGCTGCTTCCATAGTTTGAGTATTGTGAATAATACTGCAGTGAACATAGTTGTACAAGTGTCATTATTGAATTCTGACTTACATTCCTTAGAATATATGCCAAGGAGTGGTATTGCTGGATCACATGGTACATCTATTTTTAGTTTTTTGAGGTGCTTCTATGCTGTTTTCCATAGTGGTTGTACTAATTTACATTCCACCTGCAGTGTTTGAGGGTTCCTTTTCCCCACATCCTCACCAACATTTGATGTTGCTTGTGTTCTTGATGGCAGCCATTCTAATATGAGTGAGGTAGAATCTTAGTGGGTTTGGTTTGCATTTCCTTTATGGCCAGGAGTGATGAACAGTTCTCCATGTGTTTTCTGGCAATTTGGACTTCTTCCTTTGAAAAATTTCTGTTCAGTTCATTTGCCCATTTCTTTATTGGGTCATTGACTCTTTGAAAGTTTACATTTTTGAGTTTCCTGTAAATTCTGGTTATTAATCCTTTGTCAGATATATAGCTGGCAAAGGTTTTCTCTCAATTCATGGACTGTTTCCTTTGCTGTGCAGAAACGTTTTAGTTTCATGTGGTCCCATTTGTCAATTCTTTCTCTTAATTGCTGAGCCATTGGAATGCTATTTAGGAAGTTATTGTCTATGCCTAAATGTTCCAGTGTATTTCATACTCTTTCCTGAAGTAGTTTCAAACTTTCAGGCCTTTTATTAAGCTCTTTGACCCAATTTGAATTGATATTTGCAAAGAGTGAAAGACTGGATCTAGTTTTGCTCTTCCATACATGGATATTCAGTTTCTTCTCAGCAACATTGTTGAAGGAGACTATCTTTTCTCCATTGTATTTTTTTTGGGCACTTTTGTCAAAAATCAGGTGGCTGTCCCTGTGTGGAATGATGTCTGGGTCTTCTGTTCTATTGTTCTTTGTGTCTGTTTTTGTGCCAGCACCATTCTGTTTTTATTGCTATAGCTATAGTATAGTTTGAAGTCAGGTATTGTGATACCTCCAGCATTGCTCTTTTTGTTCAAATATTGCCTTAGCTATTTTCAGTCTTTTGTGCTCCCATATGAACTGTAGAGTTGATTTTTCAATTTCTGTGAGGAATGTCATTGGAATTTTAATGGGGATTGCAATGAGCATATGGATTGCTTTTGGTAGTATAGCCATTTTTGCAATATTAATTCCACCAATCCATGAGCATGGGAGAACTTTCCATCTTCTGATGTCTTTAATTTCTTTCTTTAGAGGTTTATAGCTTTCATTGCAGAGGTCATTCACTTTCTTTGTTGTTTATTCCCAGGTCTATTATTTTTAAAATTAAACAAAAAGTTGAAAAGATAGCAAAAGGCTAGAAATTGTTTTAAAGTGCTGAAAGTATATAAAATACTATTTGGAAAATAAAAATTTCTTTCATATTTCATGAATCCAGTTGTGAAGAAGTGGACTTGAATTTCCATCAAAAAACATGGCTTAGTTCTAAAGTATTGATCAATGAGGATGCTTATACATTAGAATAGTTCATAAACAAAATTTCAACATTTTCCCAGAGAAATAGTGTAAAGACTAGTGCTTCATATGATTATGGACAGACCAGATATCTCATAAGAGGGTATACATGAACCAGAGCTCAGTTTTGAGTCTTCATCAGTAAAATAAACACACTCTCAGTGCCCTTTCTTGCATATAGCCTATGCTTTTTAT